GATATCAAAAAAGTACTCCAGAGTGTTGTTCAGCATGGGGGTGAGTAGAAAATGAAGGCTAATCATGTTTTGGGTGTACTATTCCTTTAAATAGTTTTTTGTTTTTGTACATGACTAAATGGATACACGCGCGTTGAGGTAGTTTAAAGTGTATTTTTCTTACAAAATTAAATGGATAAATGCAAATCTGATGTCTTGCGCATGGGTATTGACTATTATTCGACAGAACACCGGCTACCAAGGGCCAGGGACCACTGAACCCTGGTTCTTCACCCCTTAAAGCAGGTTGTACAAAAATTATCCCACATCTGACATTTCCTCTGTTTTAGTTAAACACCCCACAACACTGCATCAATATCAGTCCCATTATGTTTCTGCATAGACTGCTTTAAATCAAGCTCAATTCCTCTGATGCTGATTCATTCACTGAATGTGCAGGTATTTAATTTACACATTTGTGCGCAGCATTGTGATTTTAGGCAGGATGATCTGACATGCACTTATCTTAATAAAATCTAACAAGCTTCAAAAATTCTGAACGACCCAAAAACCCTATTTCAACTTAACACATAATTAAATATGCAGCGAAGAGTAGAAACACATGGCTAACTGCGTCACATTGCCTCTTACACCACCCAGCTTTGACATCGGTCCAATTTCAGCATCAAGACAGTGAAATACTTCAACATAAAGCTCATATCATGCAGCACACAGGTCCCACAACCTGACTAAGAGCAATGGTTGTGTAAACTCTAATGTTGAGCTAATAAAGATAGCAGGTTTACACCATTACAAGCGTGTGACACATTTCACAACAGGCAGCACCATCTATCTCACAAATAACACCGTGATATGACTTTAAAAACCCACCAGAATATTTTATTTTGGGGGAAATTATTCGCAATTGAAACATTAACACGTTTTGCCTTCAAGTTGTACGCTAATTCAAAAACTAGCTTGCGTGCTAACATCGTATTTACCCGTATCTTCGTTATATGTCGACGTATGAACTAAGCCGTTTCTTTCGACTTTTAATATAAAAGTCACATATTTTAACATGTGTTGTTAAAATGTCGGTGTTTAACATTCTGTCACGGCCGAAGTCAACAACGCGGCCTACAACCTTGGCTGCAGCTCCCTTGCTAGTCGACGGTTAGTTTAGCTCAAAGCTAAAAAGAAGCTAAGTTAGCTTAGCATAAAGAAAATACTCACCCTCAGCGTCAGCTGCCATTGTGCAACGTCCCTCCGCCTTAAGTCGACAAATTCTAGGGCAGCGTTTAATGTTCACGGCGTCCACATTATCATAGCTTATAAAATTAGCAACTAAACGGACCGTTTATGCGGTTTATTTTCAGGACGGGAGAAAGAACATGGCAGAGATGAGTCTGTGGTGATGATGCATTGGGGGAGGAGGAACAAGCTGATCCGTTTGCTGCATCTGAGACCCACTGGATTCACATCCCTTTGTATGTCAACACAAAAATATTCCTACAGTGTAATAAAACATTTGAATCCTTAACTATAAAGTTATCCTTTCCAAAATAAGAAAATTGGGTGCTCTGAAAGATGTTGATGTATTTATGAGACTACTATTTGCATTATTCTGCACTCACTTAATTTGCTACTTAATTTAGAGAATAAAATAAATTTAAATAATTTAATTTTTACTAACATTTTTCGAGATGTATAAATATTTATACTGCGTACAAGGTTCAGAGGCGTAGCCAGAAATTTTTTATAAGGGTGGCCAGGCAATAACCAAAGTAAACTGAGGGGTGGCCCAACGCGGATTGGCACCAAAACCTTAGGGTCAATATATACTGATCCAACAGGAAAATGAACGAGCAAAACATCCATATTTCTAAATAAAGACAAACTATACTTTCCTACAGCCTTTGCTAACAAATAGACGCATATATTTAAACATCCATCTAGATAAAAGGTATAGTGGATAAAGTTCTTCCAGGTTTGAGCTCTGGGTTGAACATCTTTGTCACAAAAAATCTTTATTTACTAAGTTTTAATAGAATAGTTATTTATCTATGATTTAACTGAAGACTCCTAGAGTTTTCTCTTTACCCTGTATAACACAAAATCTAGTTCTGAAAATAGCATGAATTCTGTTCTTATCTTTAATGTTAGTATATTTATGTGCATAATTAACCACAGTGTTTTTGCTGTCAAGTAATTGTTAATCTCTGAAAAATGTAAATGTTTTGAATATTGGGAGTATTACTGTTGTATCATTTGAGAGTATAACTGCTCCTGTCAGAATTATGGGGGGGAAATGGTAGGGGTGGCCACAGAGGTGGCCAATGATTGGGTAAAAATCTGAAAAGTGTGGGGTCCATATGCATTTAGTTCTTAATGTGATCTCTTTAAATAAAATCCAGAACAGCTAATTGTGGTTTAGAATTTCCTTAATTCATAAACAGACTTTATTAGAAATTGAATCTTGGTATGAAGACATTAATACAAAATTAATACAAAATAGAGAGAATATGATCACCATTGATGCTGAGCATGTGTTTATTCATGTTTACAGCCAAAACGATGCATTAAAAAAAAATTTATACTAACTAGTTGGGTTCTTTTTACTTTTAGTTGTAAAGACGCAGGGCTTAAAGGTGGCGACATTTTATGCTGCTGCGTTCTTGTCGTGAGATGGGTGAGCGATTTATTTTCTTTGTCCAGGGTTCTTCTGCACTTCCTCTAAGTTCACTGGGAGTAAAAATACTGAAATATTTATTAGGACTTTATTTTCATGTTCTTTGGGGAAAAAAAGTATTATTTGTTAAGCTGAGAATTGAAGTGATGCTGTTCAAGGTTAATTATTTTACATCAAGTATGTGTTTAAAACTGTGAATGTTTAAACTGTTAAATTGAGACTGAATACTGAAGTATTTTAAACTTATGGAAATATTACATTTTTCACCATTTATTTTTTGTAAACATGTTTAATGTTACACACAGTGCTTTAAGTGCTAACAAAATGTGAAATGTAATATTTGAAACTCAGAATATTCTATGATGCTGTCGTTAGCAGATCAGGTTTATTGCTCTCCTTAAATTTTGGATGGATCTGATATTGATGGCGAGCCAATCCCTCAGACGAACCGATCAACTTGTCTTGATGCACAGCACGGTGTGGTAGGCCAACCGCAACAAGGGTCCCACATACACTGCCTTGCATTTACTCTCTATTACACACATGCACACATTCCCCTGGACTTTTGGACTTTCCATTTGGAATCTTTACGGACTTTTTTTTACGGACTCTATATATATATATAAGTATGCAAGTGCAGAAAAGTGGATTCCCTCGAAATGTTTTCATGGTTGAAAACATTTGATGTCTGTTGCTGAGTTGAACATTTTTTTTGCCATTGAAGCTGTCTTTTGTTTTGAAACAAATCCTGATTTGTTTAATTAGAAGGTTGCACCCAGGTAAGAATTCAAAGAAACCATTGTGAATGTGAAACCTCCATTACTGAGGTTTTTTTGGTACCAAGAAAAATAGAAAGGAAATTCTGTTAAAATATATTTTCTTTTTTTTTCCCCTTGTTCTTCTTCTCTGTTTGTTTTCCACGTAATTAAAATAAGAATCCGGCAATTTCTAATTTTACCTCTTTGTCCGAGTCTCATTCATTTCACCTCTTCTGAGTATAGCCGAACCTTCTGGCCCAACATTTACTTTCTCATACATAAAACTTTGCTAAGTTAAACTTACTTTACGATTCATTTAGTAACAACTGTGTTGCACTTGCATTGTCTATCCATCCATCCATTTACTCCCTATTAGTCTTTGTCGGGGTTGCAGTGGGGCAGGTGCCTATCTCTGGCAGTCAATAGGCGAGAGGCAGGGTACACCATGGACGGGTCGCCAGTAAGTCGCAGGGCAACACAGAAAAATATACACACTCACACCGTAGGAAAATTCAGAGAGGCCAATCAACCAATCAAGTCATGTTTTTGGACTGTGGGAGGAAGCTGGAGTACCCGGAGAGAACCCAAGCATGCACAGGAAGAACATGCAAACTCCATGCAGAAAGACTCCCAGCCAGGAGTTGAACCCAGAACCGTCTTGCTGCAAGGAAAAATTGCTACCTACTGCATCACTACGCAGCCATGGCTTACATTGCCTATGTATCAAACATTTGCTACATAACCTGAGGAAAAAAAGTCAAATATTCTAATTGCAGGGGAATTGTTTCAGTTTGACTTAGGACTGTTTTTTATGTCTGTTTAGGAATGGTTTTCCCTTGCAAATCTGATAAATACTTACTACTCTGATGTCATCAGGAGCTAAAGAGTGAAAATAAAAAATATAATTAATGACTGCTGTAGATATAAATTTAGCAACTACACTAGAATTAATGGGAATTTGAGTTGTGGTCTCACCAGCTAACAACTGAAAATGGTTGCATCAGTATGCTCCTTTTCTTTTCTCTTCAAACATCTGAGTTTTCCCAAATAATTTGTATGATTGAACACCAAGGCTTTTGTAAACAGCGTTATGTCTTTTGAGATTACCTCATTTTATAAAGTACAAGGACACACTTAGGGAACCTAAAACAAAAGAAACATGTCTGCTGAATTATATATTTTTTATTTATAATCTAAAGGATGTAACCACATTAATGACACGTATAGGAATTATTTTATTCATAAGTACGGCAGTCTTAATAATGTAATATTAGACAACATAAAAGCCCGTGAGTTTTACAGGAAAAATTATAAGCATTTTTTTTCTCTGTTCCATATCAGTCAAAATAAGTCGTATTTTATATTACCGTATAATTGAGGATAAAAAAAATGCTGTTTTTTTTATTCGTAACCTTTTTAAACTACTAAGTTTAAGTTAGAATGTTATAACCACAATCCAAATAACTTGCAGGTTTGTGTAGTAGTACAGTGTGAAGCTTTGCACCACAGTAAAGTGGAAAAAAGAAATAATTGCTTTATACCATTACATATGATTAAAAGGCAGACATGGTTTATGAATATTTAATTCAGGTGCAATGATAGATGTAAGTATTTTTCGGCATTCCTGAATTATTTAGAGATTGCAATTCTTGCCTCTTCCTCTTAAAACCAACTCGGATTGAAAAATGTCTGAGCATCTAATTTTTTTAAGGTCTTGCACCACAATTTCTATAGAAATTAGGGCTGAATAATGGCTTTGTCATTGTGACAACTGAAAAGTTTTGATCTTCACTGCCTCTGACTCCATGTTTATAATGATTGTGCTGCCAGAGTTTTCCTTCAGCATTGTCCTAATATTAGCTCCTTTCAAGTTTTGATTACCTCTGAGTCGTTTCTCTTTTCCTGCTTAAAAAAATCCTCACACCACGGTACTGACAACAATGTTTTTTGTTAGTGGATATTGCTTTTAAGGTGATTTGTAGTTTTAACTCTTTTGCATTTAGGCCAGAAATTTTGTGATTTGGTCTCCTTTTACAAGCTGTCTCTCTTCCATAAGTTTATTGTTTCCCCTACTCAACCTATGGAAAAGGTAAAAGTAAGACATGATTTTATTTTAACGATCAGTATGTCGCTTTGTTAGTGACATCTACAGCAATTTTTGCACAACAAATCAACAGTTTGTGCAAAGTGGGGATCCACTTTCCCCAACAGATCGTTTGAGCTTCACACTGAGGAAGGGATTCATCTCCACTACTACCCGTTCAAGTGCACAACGAGTCAACAGTTTCTTAACCTGAGCTCTTTGCATTGCTCCCATAGTCGACACTGGTGTCTAGGCTGCTTTTTTGATTAATGCTCTAAGTAAGGAGGAAGGCCATTTCTTGGTCGGTTTGAAGTTACAGCCTTTTTTATTTACAGAGAATGGATTTAACAGTACAAAAGCACACTACATTTTTCATATTTTTTTGTAAAAACAATATTAATTGTATTTATCATTATCATGCCATCTAATAAGTGGAACTGTTTTGTGTCTGTCTACAAAAATTACCAGCAGCAATGTGTCTCAAAGTTTGTTGCTCTAACAGGATAAAATGATACCTTAGAAAGCAATGTATCTGATCTTTAGGATACAAAGTCAGAAGCACCTATATTCACATTTCATTTAGAACTAACACCCAAATGTTTTGCCTGAAGCTTTTCCATTTGACCTCTCTAATGCCTCTTGTGTCATGCACAACAGGAATGATAATTATGGCCTGGGGGCAAAAATCAAGCCGTGACACAGAAAATATAAGCATTTAGGGATTAAAAATATGATGGCACTAAAGTCTAAAGGCCTCTAAAAATCTTTCATTCATGGCAACCCTTAATTTCAGTTCATTAAATATACCATGAAATGTATCAATGCTATTTTGAAAATGCAGATTCTCAAAGTATCAGAAAAATATATTCAGAAATGATGATGGTTCAATTAACAGGAT